AATGTTTGTGTTAAGTTCCTTTGTTTTATGTGATAATACTTTCTCTTTAATTCTATAACAACATAATATTTCTGTTCAGTTACAAAGTTGCGCTGTTCAAGTCCTATAATTGCTGTGTCGAGAATACCGACTAATTTGTCAATCAAAATTTTTTCGTTTTCAATAACCTCTGTGTCACTTTCTTCACTATCGGAAGCAAATTATAATAACGAGGTATTTGATTTAAATCATATCAAAGACGGAATACATCGAGATGAAATACTACATTTAGTAAGGAATTATAAGCCAAATAAAATGAAAACATCTGCCCTGAAGATAAGGATAGTGCTGAAAGATCAACTTCCAATTCATTGCGCCCCCCCCCCCCCCCCCCCCGCAGCAGAGCAATGTGAAATTGATAAACATATTTCGGAATGGTTAGGTCATTTTTTGCAGCAATTCCACTTTTGTTTAATGGACTTCGAAACATACTTCGCTTTGTAGATCCTTTACATATTAGTAAATATACTATATCGGAAATTCTATTTGACATAATCGAAAGTTGAAGCTTACTTTTATAAAATTGCTCTAACAGTCTGCAAAAAATAATAAGCCGGTTCCAATTCGAAGATTAAGGAACAACGCAATCTGCAACATTAACTGAAATAGAGAATTAGATAATTTTAGCTTATACCATCCGTTTTACATTAAACGCGCATGCGTAAACATATTTCGCGCATGTGCACATGCATATTCACAGCCGTAAAGGTCTGCGTCAATGCGACGCATGCGCAGAAAGTTTGTAGCTTTGAGGTCCGGATTATAGATCATTCCGGATTATGGGTGTCCGAATTAACGACTTTTGACTGCAATGTGTTCCAGGTTCTTTCCAAATTAAGTAACGCCTACTATCACTCTGGGGGCTAAATCTGGACTCATTCTTAAAGAGAAAAGCCCTCCATTGGACATGTTGACGTGCCCACCTCAAATGATGCTTACTATCATGTGACGTGAGTGGCAGGCAAATGGTTAGTTGCCTTGCATAGACCTCCTACGTGAAATCTTTTAGGTACGTTTGACGCCAACCTTTCAGTGGCTGCAGCAAAGGAGAATATGGAGTTGAATCAATGTTGTGGTTCTATTCCTTCATGTGCATAATGATAAATATTGGTCATCGGCGCTCGTAACAGTTGCCTATCCTTAGTTGAGCATCCTGGATGCCAAATCTGTGATTAGAAATTGTTGCTCAAGTCTGTGAACCACAGAAGCTTTCACATCTAGCCATCTTGCCACTTCTGACTTTGTCCTGCCTCCACTCTTCCAACAGCTCTCCATTGCAGTTCTTCAGGCAAATGATGCCTGGAAGTATTTGTTACAAATTGGCTATCCCAGATTCTTCTCTCAGCATCACAGAGAAATTTGCAGACTTGCTTTCAAATACACAATTTTATGCTCCTCGCAGATAACATTTTCCGAATGCTGCATACTGCAATTTACTCACCAACTCTTATTTGACAACATATTCAAATTTTATACGTATTGGCTATTTCCAAATGAGTTATCACTATTTTTTTTGTGATTTTTCCTTAAATTTGGAAACCACTGTAGTTTTCCCTATGGGCTAATTTATTGGTAAACTGTATATGGCCCATTTTCAAATTTTGCTTACATACAGTGGTGGCCAAAATTGTGGACATTTTTGGAAATTTTTATGTTTTTGAACTTTGTATGCTTATAGAAAACATTACGTTTCACAAAATGCAAACTTACATTTTTGGAAATTTTTATGTTTTTGAACTTTGTATGCTTATAGAAAACATTACGTTTCACAAAATGCAAACTTGTATATATCATTTTAAAGAGAATTTATTACTGAATTCAATACAAAACACAAAATTCAATTAATTGCAATACAAAAAAAGTTAAACGATAATAGTTATCGATATACATTAGATAGTGATGATTGCAGTGAGTTATCAGTACTTAGTAGGGTACCCTTTATTTTTTATTACAGCTTCACATCGACGTTTCATTGAGCTGACAAGAGTTTTTTTAAGCTCTTCTTTCGTTATTACATGATGCCAGGAAACAACTATAGCCTCAATTAGTTCCCTTTTATTTGATGAGTGCCTCATTCGGACAAGAGTTTTCAAACGGTGCCACAAATTTTCGATAGAATTCAGGTCAGAATTGTTTCCTGGCCATGACAACAATTTAATGCTCTTTGTACGAAACCACTCTTTTGATATTTTGGCCGTGTGGCAAGGAGTAGAATCCTGCTGAAAAATAAACGAAGCATTGTTGGGAAAGAGATCTCTGATGGAAGGTAGAAGTTTTGGTTCTAGAATAGTGTCAATGTATTTTCTGGCATTCACTGTCCCATTGATGACATGAAGGCAACCAATACCATCTGCTGACATGCATGACCAAATCATAACACTAACTGGGTTCTTCGCAATTGCTTGAATGCAGTCAGGATGTAGCTCTTCTCCTATTCTACGTCTTGCATATTTTCGCCCATCACTACCGAATAATGATATCTTAGTTTCATCACTCCATATAACTTGTGACCACTGAATCATCTGTCCAATTAATGTGTTCCTTTGCCCACTGTGGTCTTTTTTTTTTTTTTCCGTTGCTGAAAATTAAGGCTTTTTTCGTGGAATTCTGCCTCTCAGTCCAACATCTGTTAATTTTCTCCTGATTGTTCTTGAACTGACAGAAACACCAGCATCATTCAGATCACTTCTTATGGTCGCTGATGACATTTTTCTATCTTGGAGACATAGTCTTTTTATTCTTCTGTCATCAATAGATGTGGTGCACCTTTTTTTCGGCCTTTTCCTTCTTTGTTTTTTATTGAATTTGTCTCCTGATATCGTAAACAAAACTTTCGGACTCCAGATGTAGTCTCTGAACCACCAGTCTTGCAATCTCAGCATAGGAAAGACCACTTTCTCTTAACACAATAATATTACATCTCTTTCTAGGTGTCCAATCTACTCTTTTATTTGATGTCATTGCTTCTTGACTAAACATTAAAAATTTTTACAAAAATTCCTACTTGTAATTGCAGTGTATAAGAAACTGGTCCTCCTTCTACAGAACAAAGCAAAATAATGAATTGTTTCAAGTGTAAACATGATGTCAGCTTCTACTGGCAGTTACTAACATTTGATTGGTTCTTAGAACAAGAACAGTGATTGGCCAGGAAAGCTAGACATTACGAACCACTTCATAACTGTGTTTTTTATTTATATTAAGGTACATATCACGTTTTTTGTATTGAAAATAATTGAATTTTGTGTTTTGTATTGAATTCAGTAACAAATTCTCTTTAAAATGATATATACAAGTTTGCATTTTGCAAAACTTAACATTTTCTATAAGCATACAAAGTTCAAAAACATAAAAATTTCCAAAAGTGTCCACAATTTTGGCCACCACCGTATGCTGTCCCAGAAGAAAAGAAAGAATATTCAAGATAAATTATGTCTAAAGTTTAATTTGAGTAGCGTGTTGCATAAAGTTGACTATAAATATATTTCTACAATTCAAAATATAAAATAATCAATTGAAATTTTTTAAGATATAAATCTTAATGTGTGATCGTACACAAAAATGTCCCTTTCAAGTTTCATGTTATTCAACCTCTTTGTTTTGTAACTTAATTTATTATTTTAAATAAAGTTTAATTATTTTGAATATGAAGTATTAGTGTTATATTCATGTTAAAAATTAATTACAGAAGGGTTTTTTTTAATAATTTGTCTTCCACTTCATGTCAAATCCGTTATCTTTTAATTCTATTGTATTCTAAATTATCTTTTAATTCTATTGTTCTTAAGTATTAAGAAGCAAGATCAAGAATTAATGGCTTAGTGGCCAAATGTGTGACATTTGTATAAATAAATATTCTGCTACAAAATGTCATCAACATTTTTCAGTTTAATTTTGGATTCAGAAGATAGTTTACAGAACAACTATAAATTTTGAAAGTAATATACTATATGGTATTAGTAACATATTTATCATACTATTGATATAAAGAAAACTGTTGCAAAATATTAAAATTTTTTAAAAGTAATTCTTAGTTTAGCCAGTTTTAGAGCACTTGTTCTATTGATACTTGTAAATTACAACTTCTCCAAATTAAGGAATACATGTCTAACAGATTTTATTCCACTTTTGTGTATGTGTATGCATCTCTCATTAGATCATGAATTAAATTGTATGATCATGATTTTGCTCAATTTCTTACATACACTGCAATACTTTACCATTAATGTAAAGTTTAAGTAATTTAACAGAAACAAACTTGCAAAAGTGAAGTATCAAAATTATGTATGGATATCTGCAATATAAATCTTAGCCTGGCTATATTTTGAATTTTTGCATGCATGAATAACAAGGACCACAAAATAAAAAGACAAAAGTTGCTTAAGTAATGTGATATAATATGGGATCTGGCTCATAATTAATACTGCAAATGATTTTCATCACCCATTGCTATAAATAAAGTTAATTAAAAATATCAATTTAAGTGGCCTGAAGTGAATTATATAAATTGCACTGAATAATATAAATGTAAAATGCAGTCATTAGTCTTAATGGCTGAATTTCAATTTTGTAATGAAAAAATTGTGGGCATGCAGTTTAATATCTGATATTTATGAACTAAAAATGATCGTATGTTTAAAAATTTGGCATTTAACATGCTTAGGTGTAACAAAAACATATTTTCACCTGCGTGGGATATATAAATAATGAAATTACTCTGCTGTTTATTAGGAACTGTAAAATCTATATTTTTATAATCTATAATGTATAATTTAATTTTTAATATCCAGATGCACAAATCTGTATATATGTGTTTTAGTTTACATTCAGTTTCTGTTGTTGTTGTATGTTACTTTATATCTGTGACAAAATAATGCATGGACTTTATGATACCATATATAAGTTACAGAATTTCTCTTTCATTGTTTATTTTTACTTGCTCAAAGTAATACACATCTAAAAAGTATGAAATATTTTTCTTTTATTATCTCTCTCTCTCCATTCACCACCTGTACATACCACATGGACCTAAACATTAAAGACTAATATTTTTTACATACAGCACATGCAAAACAAAATGCATGTACAATTTCGGAATGAAAAAAGATAACATCTACACTGTACAATGCATGGTTAAGATAAATAATATGAACCAAAATAAAATCCAAAACTACATTCAATTATTCATTGTTCTAGAAAATAATTTCATTCACACTTAATAATTCAGAATAAACATTCCAAACAAGGAAAATAAATGCTAAAACATTTCAATGAATATTTCCTCCCCCCACACACCAATATTTGGTGCAGAGCAGTTAAGGAGTTCTGATTGATTACACAAAATATAATACTTCCTAACATTTCAAAACTATTTGATAGCAACATTATTAAAAGATTTGTGAATTTTGATTGATATTTTAAAAGCTAATAGTACCAAAATTTAAAAAATTAACAATAGAAAAATTTGACATTTTAAAAAAGGCACTCGTTTTTTTATTTCAAGGAATAAATGGCCTTCCAATCAAACTGAAATTTTTCCAGCAACATCTGATATCCAAAAAATTAACGAATTTTTGAAAAATAGCAACAGCACACGGCGGAACTCCTTAACTTAGGACATTTGCATAAATATATATATATGTATGTACATACACTTATTTAAAAAATAAAATTTAATATAATTAAATTCCTATAATTTTTGTAAACTATCACAAATTTATTGAGATGTCAGATACGAGGACTGAATTTCATTCTTTCTTAGACTATCTCAGTATAAAGTTCTTTTCTCATGTAGGATACGTTCTGCGACTGTTACGTCCTAGCATGTGTTTCTGGCTTCCCATGCTTGAACTTCTTGAATCAAATTCTGCAGGGTCGAACATTAGAGGGGCAGTATGCGGTTGAGACTTTTCCTACAAAAAATATCAAACAGAAGAAATACTGATTTTAAATCATTTTTAAAAATATTTGTTTGTATTACTGTAATGATAAAATATATCAATATTCTTCCATTTTATTAAAGCTACAATTTATTTTTATTATATTTTATAATTAATACATTAAAAATATTAAAAGCTCCTAATAAAAGAGTATAATTCTTTACAACTAGATACATTTAGTTTTATACAGCTTCAAGATATTAAAAATTCATTTGAAGTCAAAGTTTTACTTTTTTATAATAAATATATCACATGAAATAACTGAGATGTATGACTAAATGGAAGGCATAATTGTGTTGTATTTCTTGCTACTTAGATGCTCTGTCACTGCTTCTCTTCTCATTACAATGATATCAAGATTATGAGATTTCTGCAGTAGTTGCACTTATTGCGCCAAGTTATTTGTGGCTGCATGTGTCAATTTGACTTTTCATTTTTCATTATGTATCTACATTGCAGTATCTATCTTCAGCAATTTATAAATTACTACACACAATGTATATGTGTGTCTGCATATATTTCTGTACAATTTACATTAAAATGGATTACATGACATTTTTTATACTTTGATTCACTTTTGTATTTCCTCTATCTAAGTTCAATCACAAACTAAATCTTGAACAAAGACAATTTTTTTCCTCTTTCCTTCCTGATACAACCTACTAACACAACAAAATTAATTGATGTGATTTAAAAATACAAAACTACTAAGATGTATATTTTGTAAAGTCATATACAATTTTATATCAGTCCTGGTGCCTTATCTCTTTCAAATGGAGGGAAAAAAAAAAAAAAAAAAAAAAAAGAAGGATAGGGAAGTTAATAAAAAATACTCCACAACATACTTATGCCACATGTTTATAACTTACTTCTGTGTCTAACTGTGAGGTATTAAATGATTCTTGACTTTCAAAATCTGTAGAAGCTTCAGCAACTGATGGCACTGCAATAACAATAAAAATCAAGCAGTAAACATTTGTAATTCTAAGTATAAAAACAAACAAACATACATTTAAGAACGACAAACAGAAAGTTTATAATCAAAATCATCATGAGAAAAATTATTTATTTAAATCCAAAAGTTGTAAGTAACTCAAAATTTTGACAATTTATCAACAGAATTTTAACAACTGGGAAAATACTGATACCACACCTGCCAACTTCATTAGAATAAAAGTCAGAAGATTTTTGGGAAAAATACAGAAAAAGAAAATGTGTAAAGTGATTTTTTTTAAAGAAATATACATATATGAACATTAACAGGAATTATAGAAGAAAAAATACTTATCATAAAAAATGGAAAATTAGATAAATAAAGTTAATTTTAAGATGACAACAACAACATATTTCGAGAAGCTTTTTCCCCCCCCCTCCTTTTTAAATTTTTGTTACAATACAATTCAGAAACTCTGTTTTATAACATTTGTCATGTTGTTTAAATTCCAGAATCAGGTATTTAAAATGTACCAAAATGAAAAGTAAATATTCTTTCAAACATGGCAAACAGAAATAAAGTTTCATTTTAATGTTATTTTCATAGAAAATATATTATTGCTATTTTTATAATAACATAATATAATTGTACACTGTTTAAAAATGTCATGAAATATGAAAACCATCGAACCAAGTTTTTTCACAAAAAGTGGTCTTAAAAATCACCCAAATGCTGATAATCTGAAAAACTTGAAGATAAAGGAATTCAGATCCTAAAAGGTAAAGAACTCAGTTTTTTTATCTACTATAAAGGACAAATTCAAACAATAACAGAAAAGTCTCCCAAAGTACAGGGGAATAAAATTCAGATTTAGCAAAAAAACACCAGATCAACATAGTTTTTAATGCCCTTAGAAAAAATTGCAAAATTCGTATTTTTTTTTTTTAACATGTGACATCAAACAAAATACATACAGCAAAGTTTATAACAAAAGAAGCTACAATGAATTCACATATGATGATTAACTTTACCTTATTTCTCACCAAGCTTTGCTTATAAAGAAGCAGAATAAAGGTAGGTGGAGTGAAAAAATTATTATAATAACTACTTTTTTCTACAGAATGCATTCCATCTAATTATGAAACTTTTACTCTACAGTTTCTTAAATCAATTTTTTACAAAATATCCAAGGCAAAATGAAAACAAAAGTTATTCAACAAGAAATTTTAATGGGTGCATTTATAATTCCATCATCACAAACATATAAGATGCTTTTAAACAGTAAAAACAAGATTTGTTGGAAAATGCCATAAAGAGAATAGGTTTAAAAAAAGCAAAATTATTCTTCGATAGATTATTAATCTTCATAATATTATAAAACAGTTCAATATGATCTGATGGTGATAAGATTCAGTTCAAACTAAAGATGATTCGTTACTCTAATATATATTTTTGATACTCTTGATATGTTTTTGCTACCTAATTTAAAGATTTTAAAAGATTAAAATTCTAGACTAATTTTGATATCATTAATAAAATTTAGGTAACTTCTGGATGATATAATTTGGCTAACAGCACTATTTTAGTGAGAAGTATGTAAATATCTTTAAGAATTTTACAATACAAAACAAGCTGTTCTCTCCAAAGGCAAAACAGAAATTTAACATTCTCACAGATAAAAAGCATGAATTATAAACTATGCCAACTGATTTTAGGAATTTTAGTATCTTAACAAGATATTTTTACCAAAAAGAATCTGAAAATAACTAAGACAGGCTCCACAATTTTATATACATCTAGGTTATATAGCAAGCAACACAGAGTATTGCGAATTGGCAAAAGTGCATTATTTTCCCTTACTTAGTTAAATTACTGTAAACATGACCAGGGATGGATTATAGCCATACTATTATGCTTAATAAATAACAGCAAATATGAGCTAATACATTTAAACTTGAAGAAAGGCAAAAACAAGTGCGCTTCTTTTAGGCAGTTTTATCATAACATACTGCTACTTTTTTATCATTACTAATTAATAACTATTCTACAATAAAATAAGTTCAAAGGAATCCTGAAAATTACTGGAAAATAATACATACACTTATCAGAGTGTGTTTTTTAATTAGTTTTTACTCGTAAATGAAAAATCAATTTCTAACCAATTCTAAGATTGTTCTAAAAGAATCCATGCATTTTATACCTTTTAGCCAAAAAACTTTATTAAAAATAATATATTTTTAAGATATTATTGCAGATTTTAATTATCACATTCTGTCTCACACTTGTTAATTTTGATGCTAATGTAACTTCAATAAGTAATCAATGTTTTACATTCACACGGAATCACTAAGACTAGTAACGATGATTAAAAGACATCAATTAACAATTCTGCATTATCATAAAAAATTTTAAAGCAATAATACAAAGCTTTTTATAAAAAGGCACATATTTATATATTGAACTTTAAATACCTGACTGGGGAATAAACATTTTTGGAGAAGTAGTATGGTCATAAGCAGTGGGAAAAAGAGCTTCTGGGGCCACACTAGTCTTCACTGTAGAGCCACTTGAATTCAAGATATCCACATAGTTTTGTCTCATTACTGAAAAATTTTGAGAATATAATTAAAGTAATATAAAAAAAAAGCTTCAGTATGACCAAGAAAATTAATAATGCAGTCCAAATTAACAAACACTATTTCAACAACTTGAGATAACTGGAAAAAATAAATACTAAAAATGTTACATTAAAAAATAGAAAGCACACTAAACTAATATTTTTCTTTATGACAAAATATCATGCAGCAAACATGTTAATTTAAATGTCATGCCTAGTTCAGTTATGTTGATATAGTGACAAATTTATTACCAATATTATACTTTTGCTAAAAAGATAATTTTTTAATCATAAATACATAGAAAAATATAGCAAATGCAAACCTCTAGTTTTTGGTCTTTGGAATTTATTTACAGTTGGAGGACCAGACATTGAATTACCAGGAGTAGTAGTATATGTTTTCTCAGAAGGCTTAGTTCCTAGGAGAAAACCAGAAAAGCATGAATGACAGAAAATTACATGATTATTCAGAAAATTAATACTGAATAAACTTTAAATATATATCTCAGTGATTACAATATATTGCATAATTTCAGGCTACTAATTTAGTATAACATTGCAGGAACATTAAGAATGTCATGATGTTTCAAACAGAATGATAAAAGTTTCTCATTTTTTTAAGTATGCAGAATCATATAAATAACAATTCAAATCTTATATAATTATATGGTAAAGTCAAAATATTTACAGGCAGTTTTGTAAAACCTTTCACAAAAATATTAAATGATTCTGAATCAAAATTAGAAAGATAATAAAAATGTATTAATTTCAATAATTCAGAAATCTTGTTTTGTATTTTGTAATGAAGCACAGTCTGTGAAATAGCATAAATGATTTCTAAAATCTATGCAAATTTTAATTTACGACCATAAAAATAAAATTTTTATCAATCTCTTTTATTTATTTAAAAAAAGACAAATACTCTCTGAAAATTTCTTTTCATGCAAATAAAACACTAAATATTGTGCAATTTCAGTTAACAATTATGTTTTAGAAATTATTGATGCATTTTCCCTTCCAAAAAGCAAACAAGTTTAGATTCTGTGGTGAATTACATTATCATGATCGTAACCCGCAACACACATCATATTTTTGCAATGAATCAAGCAAAGCATAGTCATATACTATAATCATAAATGTTACACTTTAGCATTCATAAAGTTGGCATCAGTCTGTATCCTAAAAAGTAAACAAACAGAATAAAAAAAGGGGGAGGGGCATGATTACTGGTTGCTATAGCAGAGATGCTAGCATTAATGCAGAGCTGAAGGTGTTTAAACCTGAAAAAAAACAGGGTTTTAATAAGATACCAACTTGCAATCTCGCATGCTAATAAGCCAGAAGTAAATGTCAATTACAGTTAGTTTATAATGAACAAAGAGAGACACTGCAGAACAACTAACCAAACAAACTAAGCAGCAAATGTAAAAGCACTCCCACGTTATTTTACAATCAAATTTTTTAAATGCTCTCCAAAGTAGACTCTAAATGATACCCTTAAATTGAAAACTATGCATCATGAAAAATTATATAAATTTATATAGGAGGAGCAATGCTAGACCCTAGATAAATGATAAAACAGATATTCTTTAATGAATCCATCCATGTCCATGAAGGCATCCCTACTCTTAGGCAGATAGCCCCTGAGTGCTTCATCATAATCAAATAAATAAAACCAATTAATCATGTTTTTTGCTCCAAAAAGTAGACAACAATGGCATGTTAAGAATAAAATCTCAGACAGTAGAAGTCACAATATGATTGGGAAAATGCAAGCAGTATAGCAAAAGTAGTGTTATTGTCTTGATGTATATCTTCACGATATAGGTTTTTTCATAACTATGCAAATGGTTACTTGTTATTTTTCACAGATCAAGCATAATCATGCACAGTGTTTGCATTCTTGGAGTGCTAGATTTTTAGAATAATATTATGCAATATGGTGAGTATCTTCAATTAAACTTCAGCACAATACAAATTTTTAACATACCCTCTTGGCCATCAAATTTATTCAACTTTTAACTAAAACAACAACTTTTAACTAAAACAAACAGCTTTGCAACTATGTCATCAACACAAAAGACAGCTGAATTTTCCAACAAGAAATCAAGAAGGAACTTCGTGGTGTATTGCAGTCTGAATGGTCACAGATACCTGCTATGACCTTCTGCCAACTTAACTGAGTCACTCCCACAATGACTATTTGCATGATTGCTGCAAGATCCATACATTCTAGATCAATGGTTCTCAACCTTTGGACTAACACGCACCATCTAAACAAAAGTTGAAAACCTTAAGTACCACTACATTTTACAATGATTATTTTACAGTTTCTCAATAGAATTATTAAAAAAAAAAATATATTTTGCCATTTGCAAAACCTATTGCCTATTTGTATTAAATATGCACACATAAAAATATTAGATTAAAAATTAGTTACAATTTTAATTATCAAAATTTAAGTTATAATACTTTAATTCTAAAATTTGAGCCTGTTTAAGAGAGAACAGTTTCTTTTTGTCTGGTCTTATTTCACTTAGTATTAACCATAAATTAGGATTCACTTTTAATTTTGTTCTGTATTTATTTTTCAAATATAACTTGGAAGGAAATCCTTGTTCACAAAAACAGATTGTGCAAAAAAGGCAATAAACAATTTAATAGCTTTATTTGAAATATCTTTAAAATCTTTTTTTTTTTTTTTTTTCCCCGGATCAGCCAAAATTTAACAAGTGTGTTATCTTTGAAATCTTTAATTAGAATTTGATCACAGAACTTTTCTATAAATTTTTCTTTTTCTCCACGATATAAAAATTTTAGGTATATTTGAACAAAATGGATTTCTAATCCAATTTTCTTTTTAATAATCCTTGGAAAAATACATGTTAAAATTATTTATCAATGAAACACAATGATTTTTAATCTCAAATACTATTCCTTCTTTTATTTTCAAATTATTTTCAGTTAGAAAACTTTATACAAGTGGTAAAAAGCTTAAAATATTATCTAATTATTTTATTATTAGCTCGAGGTTTTTATCATTGCATTTATTTATTTTATCTCTAATGGTAAAAAAATTAACACTTAGTCCTTTTAATCCTATATTTAATTCATTTAACTTTCCATAAATATCAGCTAAATGTGCCAACCATAATTCATTAAAACATTTGAATTCAAATTTTGAATCACAGAGGAAAAAATGAATTTTTGAGTTCAAAATGATGATTTAAAACTTTGCCTCTGGATAACCACCTTTCTTAAACTTACTTCGGAATGTGACATAAGCAATTCATGTTCACTACCCATCTCTTGGCATAAAATTGTAAATGTTCTTGAACTTAAAGTTTGGCTTTTAATAACATTAATAATTTTTACACCTTGATTTAAAACGATTTTCATGTTAACGGGGATTGTTTTGGCTTCTAAAGCTTGACAATGAATGGAGCAGTGAGTAAATTTAGTTTCAGATGCGACTTCCTCTATTTAAAAAATAACACCAGAATGTTTTCCTGTTAAAACCAGAGCTCCATCCTGCATACAGCAATGCACTTATTCCAAGGAATATCATTCTCAGACATAAAACTGTCAATTACTTTGAAAATTTCATTTGCAGTTGCTCTATCATCAATAAATACTCTTCGGCAATTCGTTTATCTTCTTTGAAATGTTTGTAAACTAATAATTGAACGAGTTTGTTATATCATATCAGTACTTTCATCCAACTGCAATGTGAATATTTTTTAAATAGGTGCCTCTTTTATGGAATTTGCCATTTCATGAATTCATCAACTTACTGTATCAATTGATAACAGAATATTATTAAACTTATTAGGCACTTTTTCGTTGAATAATTTAAAAATGATATCTTTAGCTGCTGGTAATATAAGGTTTTTTCCAAGAGCCTGTTCAGTCTTGGCAATTTTAAGCTTACTAGGCAACTAGCTTGAAAAGCTTTTTCACTAGAAGTAGCAAAACCTTTTGTTACTTGATAATTTCCTCTTAAAATATTCTTCAGATTTTCCTTTAAATTGGCATGCTTAGATTCAAGATGTCTTTTAAGAAACAATGGTTTCATACTTTGATTGGATAACAGTTCACCGCAAATAAAGATTGAGGTTGAGGGTCCATTTCATCTCCATTCCAAGAAAACTCAAATGATAAATAACTTTCATTACACTTTTTATAAACAACTTTTCTTCTCAATATTCTTAGTGCTAGTACATTTTCCTGGCTCTATCAACTGTGAATCATCACTTTTCTGCTTAGTCAATCCTAGCCATTTTTCCATTTTGAAAATCTAGGTTTGTTTTCCTCTTTTTTCACCTATAATTAAATGTGCAGTATAGTAAAAGTTCTTGAAAAAAATCAACGACATTCTCAAATCGCACAGAAAAGTAAGGAATATAAAGCAACAAGAATACAAAATACCAGCTATTAGAGAGAGTAAATCGACATAAAAAATTATTCTAATTGAAAATAGAGCAATATAAGCTTGAAATAGTGGTGACATAGATCAACTCTAAAAGAATTAATGAGATACTATAATCTGTTTATAGGAACTCATTTTTTATTTCCTATTAAATAAAACATCCATTTTTATTACTCCTTTAACAAACATCATTTATGACAAATTTTGTAATGTCTATGGCTAAAAGAATTTTGTGTAAAGAAAATACAAATGGATTATTTTGCTAAAGTCTATGAGTGGCTATTGCCCTTGAACAAATTTATGTGTGTTACAGAAAATACTTACACAGGATGTTGGGATATTTAATTTTTTCAATTTAATAATTAAAAATACTTTGTTTCTATGTGTACCACTTATTTTTCTCTTGCGTACCACTGGTTGAAAACTGCTGTTTTAGATGGTAGGACATGTAATGATAATAATGTGACTCGATTTTGAATGTTCAGTATAGGTGGATGATGATTTTATTTATTTATTTACTTATTTAATACAGATTTCAGATATATATATTTGATTATATAGTCTTTCAAAATCAAGTTAAGAACTTTATAAGAACCATTTCAACAGAATAAATGGGAAGGTTTCATTAATAAGAAATTTTTCTTTTTATGTGGCCTTCATACAGCTAATATTTCAAATGGCAATATATACATTGTGTTTTAAATTTACAGAAATACTCGCAAACGGAATTCATTAACCTTGATAATTTTTCAATGCATATTTTCACCACAAATCAAACACTGCAAACAAATTTATAAAGCAACAACAAAAGTTTCTCACTTTAGTAAATACAGATTCTGTATAGAATAAAGCAATGTGAGATAGTTATGGAATTTGAAGAGCTAGGAATACCAATCACATATATTTCTGCAAAGTTTGTACACAAAGTTATGAAAAATGCATTTGGAATATTTTATTAACTTGATGTTTTGCTTTATAAGGAATCATATAAAGTATATTTTATATTTATGGCATCTGCTTAGACCTTGTGTTGGAACTCTTTGTTCATAAAATTTCTTCATTTTATTTATATAAGGGGGAAAAAACTGCAACAGAGTCATTTACACCCATCTATGAAACTCCTAGATTATAAAAATCTCTATTTGATTTAAAAATGGTTATCTATATTATTTAAAATATCTTATTTAAATTTTGCTATTACAGTGCAAGTCTAGAATTAATATTTAAGAAAATTAATATTTTAGTCACTTTTTTAATAATCAGCATGTATGTGCACAGTGGTAGATTTATGAACTAAGAGACCTACCTCACTTGTTTGGGGGGAGGGGGTTTTCATCTTAAGAAATGAGTATTATTTCTTATTTTTTAAAAATCAATTATTGCCTTGGGAGGCTTCTGACTGTGATATGCAACACTAAAAATTTGCCTTTGCACATGATAATTTTGCCAGTCAAAAAAGGTTCTAATTTAAGTTTAAAAAATTAGGAATATAATTATTGTATTTTTCACTTAATTGCACACATAGGCCACCTTTTAAATTTTTACAATTCAGTAATTTCCCACTATTAAAATAGATAAAATATTTTTATAACACATTCGAAAGTAATTTCTACAGCTATAGAAAGCTCAAATAGTTTATTTCTAATACTTCATAACAGGACTAATTTTTATTGCATTAGAAGACAAAATACAGTAGAAAAAAAATTATTATAACCAGTTATGCTTACTTGATAATTCCATATCTGTGGGTGGTGCCACAGGAGTGTTACATTCATCATCATCATTACTATCTTTATTAACCCAGCAGTTCTTCACATCATCCCACACAATCTAAATAACAATATAAGCATATCATTAACTATGAATAAAAACTCTAATATAATAAAATAATAATATGACAAACACTATCCCCCCTTTTTTTTTTTTTTTTCCAATTCAGTGTATTCAAACTACTTATTATTATTATTATTATTTTACAGGAAAAAAAGTTATTCTTACTGTAGGGTTTTTATCATCAGGCAATATCATCTGATTGGGAGCTTTTGGTAAAAGGCGACTAAATATGCCCCCTAACCAAGTTTTTCCTGCCTAAAAACACATTTTATCTTTTAATATATTTAATAAACAAGAATTTAAATTAGTACTTACATAATAAATCAAAAAAAGTTAATCATACTGATTACCCATTATGTTTATTTTTCATATGTTTTATGTTACAAAACAGAATTTAAGTGATTCTGATCATTGAGTAAATTAATTACCTGGTTACTTGGTTTTTCTTTCTTTGGTTCTGGTTTCTGACTCTCCCTATTTTTATTAGAGACAGATAAACTACCAGAACTGTACCGACTGGCTGTACTCATGGCACTGTCCCTTCTTTCTCTGGGTGTTGAACTACTGTTATAACTGTTCACTGCCTCATAACTTGATTGCTTATTTTCCATCATCTAAAAAAAAAAAAAAGTCATTACTGCAAAATAAAGATATGTCACACAAAAAATTTGATAACAAAAACAGAAAGCAAGTACTCCCCTCCCCCCCCCCAAAAAAAATCACTATATCTGTGGAAAACCATCATTTGACAAAATTCCACGATTCAGTTTCAAACAATGCTATGAAATTTTACACAGTGATCGTTTGGAAAAATGATTCAGCTATTTCCATAAAACATATAATTATTCTTAATTTGATGTCAATTATTAAGACTATCATTTATAAGTTGAGTAAAACATTTGCTAAAATAAAAAAAAAATAAAAAAAAAAAAAAAAAAAAAAAAAGAAACTTAAACATTTCAAAGCATGAATTTAACAAAATATTGAAATGTCTAGCAAAACTTAAAAGAAATTTACTCAAAACAAGCAAAATGAAACTGATAATTAATAGCAACAATTTATATAGAAAATACATTTAATCAGCATATGAAACAGATTTATTCTTCAATTATGATATACGATTAAATAACAATACAGGAAAAATGATACAAAGTTTTAAACATGTAAAATTAGAAATAGAATTATAAATAAAGGAATCAGAACACAAAACTTTTTTAAATTCACAAACGGCATCCCATTTTCAATTGAAAAAATATCAAAAATATGAATAACACTGATTTAGCAAAGAAACTTTTAAGAAATTTCAGGTTTCCTGGATTTCTTGAAAACAACTTTAATAAGACTCATTTTAACAAAATATTTTACCCAAAGCCATAGGAAAATGAACAGCCTTTTGAAACATGAATTTGAAATATTTTCTACTTTTTCAAAACAGAAAATATTTCAAATAATTCTAGAGAAGATACTTGCACATAATAGGCTCTTTCCTCTTATATTCTTACATTCCTCTTATAGGCTTAAATTTCCCTTTTTTCTTTTTAATTTTAAATTTATGATGTAAATTATTCCATTTGAATTAATTTTGTTTAAAATATACAGATATTTTTTTAAAACACAAAATATTTCAAATATTTCTAGAGAAGATGCATGCTTATAAGAGGCTCATTCCTCTTATATGCTTAAAAAACTGTTTTTTTTTTTCCTTTTAATTTTATAATTTAGCCAACACATGCGCTTTTAAAATGCTAATAAATATACCTAAAAAAGTTCACTTGTTATTCAGCATTACCGGAAAATTTGGCTCGATTGCTACAAATTTTTTTTCCCCCGCACTTAAACTGAAATTTTCTTTTAAACATATAACAAATATCATAAATAAATTATAAATTCATTGCCTCTTCTTTATTAGGAAAAATTTAATTTACAATGAAGTCTAAGAGAATGCAGATTCAGATGCAATATTAAAGATTTATTAGATAATGAAAATTTTTACTGCTCCTTTACTTAATTTCACACTTGAACTCAACCAATGCAATTGACACCTCTTATCATTTTAACAATAATTTTTAATATTTCATGAAGTTCTAAATGACATATGACGAAGTTCATACACATATGATTAAATTCTACATGGCATATGATGCCCTCATAGTGACTAATGGTCATAATTTTATTATTCTTGGCAAGAGAATGCTTATTAGCTCTTAATTAATTTGCTTTTCATAACTTCATTAACAGCAGCTGTGAAACTTACAACAGATGGAATAACTTACACATTTTCATTTAAAAAAGCGACATATTCCATAAATTAAAATTTCATATCAATGAGAAAAAAATTGTTTTTTCCACTGCAAGTTTTTATTGCTAAAATGTTTTATTATTAATAAGGGATAATAATTGATATTATTTAATTCATTATTAAAATACATATTGATAAAACTGAAACGAAATTCAAAAGGATTTCGTTCTTTTCTAAAAACCTTTTTATAAAAAAATGCATCAAACAAAATGAAAGCACTTTGTTCATGAAACAACTATTAAGCAAATTCCTAAGAAATATCCATATTCAGTTTTACACTGATGCAAAATAAAGAGAAGCAATAATAAAGTTAAAATACTTACAGTTGTTAGCATTTCAGATTTACTAGTATAGCTACTGGATGATGTAGTTGTAGACCTAGCGGCATTTCTAATATCTTCTTTAGATTGCAAAAGTTTTTTACCTGATGAATGCATTTTTTTAAACATTTTCAGAGGTGACATTCTATTTGAAATCTCTTTATCAATGCTTTTTGCTCTTTCTAGGTTTTGTACAGTATTTTCATAAACACTGTTGCATTTATTCCGAGTACAATAGGAAGACTGTGAAAAACGTTTATATTTTTTGCTTGTTTTCACTGAATCCAAATTATCTTTGGGATGGCTCAAATCACCAGTGGTAATTTTTAATTCTGAAGACTTTTCTCTTGATGATTCAAAAGGTTCATCAATAGGATATGTCCCACCAAATATTAATGGTGGTTTCTTATTAAATTCATTTGCCATGAGCTGACTTAATTCAGAATTCTTCTTCTCTTCCTCGGATAATTTTTTTAGAATACTAATTATTTTCTTTGTCTCTTGCACAGATTCATCAATAGTTTTTTCTTTCTGAATCCACTGACTTTCATCAGTGTCACAAGGTTCATCAATAACGTACGTTTTTTTGCTTTGTAACAATTTTTCTATCGTTTCATTTTTCAATTTTGCTTTCCGCTTCCTCTTATTAAGTTTTGTACTACCATCCTGAGAACGCAAAATACCTAAAGAAGCCAGAAGCGACAATTTATGATTTTTGCTCTTATTTTTACTGGGACTTCCCTCAGGACTACTATCACTATTATGGGTTGGCTCATTTTTCTTTCGGCTAAATTTTCGACGCCGAATTCCTGAACGTTGTATTCTACCCTGATGTCCTGAGACACTGGCATCAAATTTAATGCATTTTTTGTGCTTAGAGTTATGAGATCGTGCTGATTTCAAACACGAATTTAGGATGCGAACATCTATCTGCTCAGACTGCGTCATGAGCATCTGCCGATCATCCGAATCTCCTTTGGAAAGCAAATAATTGTGGAGTGGAGTGCTGTGTGCTGAAGAACACAAGGCAATGTCGCTCTCAGTCTCTTCTTTTTGCACCAGCATCTCGAGATCAGATTTTGAGCACTGGTAGCAGGTACCCACATCAGAGAGTGAAACAGAGGGAAGGGAGTGGACGGAGCTCCATTCCTGAGCAGCACAAGAACACAGAGGATAGATATGCAATAAGATAAACAAAACGAAATGGTTGGCATGGCATAGCATTTAAGTTATAGCAAGGGTAAGTTTTAAAAGCTGTGCCAGAAGGAAGTGAAAGAGGTTGCAGGCTCTATATGAGGATGTAGCAATGGGAATATGAGTACTGTAATGAAATATAAGATGATCCAAAAGTCTTTCTCTATATCTAAAATTTACTAAAATCTTCTATTCATTAATGAGTTGAAAATAAAATTCTGCAATAAGTCTGAAATCAATAATAACGGTCTGAAATAATAAACAGTCTGAAAAATATTCTTCAACCGTTAAAAGTGATTAAAATGATTCAAAAAGGTCCATTAAGTAAAAAAACAGACAAACAGCTGAAAAGAAAAATCATATTAATTCATGAAAGAAACAGATACAGGTTTCAACAGCATAAAAAAATTCACTGCCATTTATGGCAGCTGAAGTTAATCTACCAGATGAGCATGAAAGAAATCAAACTATGAAGACAATTTTTAAAACTGAACAAACAATACATCCATAATGAAAAATTCCATCTCATATGGTAAAATGGAAGTGAAAATAAAATATAAATTGTCTGGTGACTTTAGAATTTTAAAAGATTAATATTCAAATCATGAATTAAATTATATCAGCTTCTTAAATAATCTTTGTTATTTTGATTTTTTTTTTTCTTCTCTTGCAAGTTGCCACAAAAAGCATTCCAATTTTGACATGTCCATTTCTTTCATAAATTAATATGAATCATTATTTTTACTGTTTGCTCTACTTAATAGATGTTTTCTAGTCATTGAAAACTTTTTAATTCTACTAATAACTTATTTAACCTAAATATGCTAAATAAAATAACTGTAACCAAATGCCAGTGAAATGAAAGAAAAAGCTAACTTATGAAGAAAAGACCCGAAGAAGCCTCCTTCCCCCCAAAAAAAAAGATGGATCACTGCTCAAAAGATTTTCTGATTAGCATCCGATATTTTTAATAGCTTCAAATCACATTCCATTTATTACCAGATCAGCAAATAATGCTTTGCTACATTCAAATTAATTACTCTGCATTTGCCTAGCTACTCTGAAACCACCAGAGAGCATAAAAACTTTCATCCCACTTAGTTTATCTAATTTTGATTTGCAGCTTCATCAGATGCTGATTTAATATGCAATAAAATTTGATATTTTAGAGATAAGATTCCTCAAATCCGGTGAAGCACCACTGAACTATATCAGATAATAATAACTGTTTTGACATCATTCATCAAAAATACTGGATTTCGTGAACATTCTTGTTTACCACAACCATTACAAAAGCTTTATAACGCTTTTATTTTATTTTATTTATTTATTTTTTTACATGCAAATTGGCAATGGCAGGGATACTCACAACTGAGATGAAAAACTTTCAAATAAACATATCTTTTAAGACAGTACAAAAGAGCTATGATACACAGAAATATGTCATCATAAAAAAGAACCACATATTAATATTAAAATATATCAAATAACTTATCTGAAACACATCTATTTTCTAAAAATCCCATTTTGAAACTGTATAAAGACTTTTGGATCTCTCTTTAGTAAAGGTTGATCTTTGTTCTACATTCCTGCAGCATGACAATTAGTAATTCCTAAGAATGCTCCTATTACCTTTTCATACTGAGTTATCACACTAAACAGTACATACAGCTATAAAAAATTATTTAAATTGATTTCAAAAGAGAATTGCTTCAGAAGTCAACTTATCACACTGGTGCACTGAAAACAATCTCTTACATTAAATGTATTGAAAGGTATTTAAAGAAGCTAGTTAGAGCTG